GTGTGGGGGGGGGGGGGGGGGGGGGGGGGGGGGGGGGTTGTTGTCTGCTGTTATGTCCCCACCAATGTCAAAATCAAACCTACACCCTAGTAATTATGTTTATCAAAGCATGTTTTATTTATCTTCTGTGGCTGAAATGGGCTTCCATCCATCTATCGTTCAGGCTTCAGTATGTCATGTCACTCCCGTACACTAGGTGGCGGACAGTAACTTACGGGTCAGGATGCAGCTTAAATACACGGCGAAGGAGCAGCAAGCATGGCGTCCTCATATCATGAGGAGATGCAGGAGGTGTTCAGGAATAACAACAAAAGCAGAGAGTTCCCGGCTCACAATGCTAAAGTGCATTCGGTGGCTTGGAGCTGCGATGGAAAACGACTGGCGTCCGGATCATTTGACAAAACCGCCAGCGTGTTCGTCCTGGAGAAAGACCGACTGGTGAGGTTTGGTTTATCATCTGCAGTAAACACTGAATTATACAAGTGATTCAAATATGGTGATTGATTGCGCGTATCATTTATATATTAAAACGGCATTGCAACAGTTATAGTTCGTGCTTGCAGTTTTTTTTTGAACAAACAATGTCCACGGTAACTTCAAAACTAATCAAGGAGCTTTAAAACTCTTTTTGTTATATCGTTTATATTTAACCCTGATAGCACACGTACGTCTGCATGATGTCTGTTAAAGATGGCTTCATCTGCTGTTACAAACATCTGATAGACGTCAGTTTTACATGCATTTACATCTTCTAAACGTCTATTTGACATCTGATAGGAACAGTGATTAAGTGTTTGTGGGCGGAGCCTATCTGGTGGCAGAAAATGGCAGTCTTAACCTATTCAAGTCATGGAATAAAATAATACAAATGTAATTTTGAGTTCATATTTCTAAATTTTGACTTTTTTCTTGCAATTCCGAGATTACATCTCACAATTCTGGTAAGAAAACTCAACTCGTCATTATTTCTTATTAGTTTATAATCCCACACTTCTGGCTTTTTTTCTCACAGAATTGACAAACTCGCAATTGTTGACTTGAATAACGTTATAAAGTCCGAACTAGGAGATATAAACTTGCATTAGCAAGAACAATAAAGCGTCTGCGTTTAGCTTCAAATGTTATATAAAAATTATTTGCATTCCGATTCTGACATCCAAAGGCACAACAATACATTTTTTCTCTTATTTCATGGATTTTACCCATTTCCCTCCACTTGTTCCCAGTGTTTTTCTGCCACCACTATGCGCGCGAAGCTTCAAGTGACGTAACTGTGACGTCTATAGTCGTATTGCAGATGAGCCACTGATAGCACACGTACATCACGGAGACGTCTATTTAACATCTGCAAGATGTATTTTTTAGAGTGTTTGCTCACCTGCAGTACGTCTGTAGGACGTTTCCTATCAGATGTCAAATAGACGTTTAGAAGATGTCTTTAAGATGTTTATGATTTAGAATGCATGTAAAACTGGCATCTTAAAGACGTCTGTCAGATGTTTTTGTACACAGCAGATGCTTTGCAGATGAAGCCATCTTTAACAGACGTCTAGCTATCAGGGAAGTAATACAATGGTAGCTGTAACTACTATAATTTCGGTTATATGGTTATTTGTCATTATTAGACGTGATCTTGCTAATTTTTTTAACCTATACTGCATGTATCAGGTGAAGGAAAACAACTACCGAGGGCATGGAGACAGTGTGGATCAGCTGTGCTGGCATCCCACCAACCCTGATCTGTTCGTCACCGCATCAGGAGACAAGACCATCCGCATCTGGGACGTACGGACCACCAAATGCATGGCCACGGTCAGCACCAAAGGTGAAGCGCTAAACCTTATCTGTCATATCTGTTGATCTTATGAGGTTTATTCATATGTGGTATTTTCTCTGACAACTTTTAGGGGAGAATATCAACATTTGTTGGAGTCCTGATGGTCAGACCATTGCTGTCGGCAACAAGGATGATGTTGTGACCTTCATTGATGCCAAGACGCACCGTCCCCGTGCCGAGGAGCAGTTCAAGTTTGAGGTCAAT